GTCGACGTTCTCGCGGAGACAGGCATGTAGTTGTTTCTTCGCTAAGTCTGGGAGTCCGGCTCCGATCTTCACGGTTCTGCTCTTGTCGTCCCCGAGCGTCACGATCTCGAATTCACCATCCGGGATGAAGCGTACCGGGTGGGTGGGCTGCCCGTTGGATTGGTTGGCTTCGCTGGTCCTTATTTCGTGACCGTGCTCTTCGGTGAAGCGGCTATCGAGGTTCACGGATCCGACGAGCTCCTTTGGTTCACTCTTCGGCGTCACGGTTGGGGTTGCCCTCTTAGTTACTGGAGCGATGGTGCCAAACCTTTCAGCGCGGCCCCGAAGCACCTCCGGGCAGCCTCGATGTCCCCGTTCAAGGTCACCACGGCCCCCCGCTTCATGTAGTACTTCATCTTTAGGTGGACGGTGGAAGGCACCGCGGTGAGTTCTGCTATCGTCGTTCTGCCCAGGATACAGTTGTAGAGGGATGGACACTCGATGACTAAGAAACGGATGTTGATCTCCCTGGCCGTTTCTTCTTCCCCGAACGTGACTTTCAGCTCCACGTACCCCTAAGGTCTCGTCGTCGTACCGTTGAACCCCTGAAGGTCGGAGCCTACGTAAGGGGATAGGTTGGATTCGTCGAGTTGGAGGGTAGTGAAGAGGTGGGTGTACATGACGTCCACCGAGCTGCCTCTGTCGATGAGGATGCGTCTGACATCGAAGTTCACCATCCGTATCAGCAGGAGAATGTTGGAGTTGGGGGAGCCCCCGGAGAGTTCCTCGAGGTAGAACGTGATCGGGTTGGATCGGCCGCGAAATTTTTCGAGCGTGCTCATCTTACCGGAGTTGCTTGTGATAAGCTCTTCAAATTTTCTTTTCACCGATCCTACGGACAGGTTCCTTGTGGCGCCGCTCGAGATGACCATGGCTCTAGCAAAGTATTCCCACCGACTGGTTGGCCGTACTGGCTCGACGGGTAGGTCGGGGCCGTCGGGGAGGCCGAACTCTCTGTCCGCGAACCAGTCCTCGGGGGCAGCTGACACACAGTGTGACCTGGAGTCCGTTGTCGCCGTCGGAAGAGGGGAGCTCTTCGACTTTCTTGGCCTCAGGGCCTCCCCCCGGTGTATCTCTTTAGGTGGTCGTCCTTAATCAGGATTTCGATCGCGTCCTTGAGATGGATGCAGTCTTCCGTCACGTGCCCGTGGCTCCTGTGGAATCAGCAGTATTTCGCCTTGTCCACATTAGGTTTGGGGGGTGTCGGCCTGGGGAAGCGGACACTTCCCTGGGAAAATTCGGTTTTGGCGCACTCGGCCAGTATGCGCTCGCGGGAAGCGACTAAGGCCGTGTATTCCGTGAATCAGCCGGCAGGGCCGCGTTGTTCGCGGGGGCGATCCTCCCGATGACGGTCACCTCCATGTCGGTGGCTTGAGGCTCCGTCATCTCGGTGCCCGCAGGGGGCCTCCCTGTCTCGGGTGTCTCGTGCGAAGTTGTCTGCTTGGGTTTCCTCGAACCGGATATAATGCGCGGCTCTGTCGAGGAAATCCTGCAGGGAAGCTAGTCGGTGTATGCCCACGGCCTCGTAGAACTTGGAGTCGCGGCGTAGACCCTGCTCCATTAGGTAACGCTTCATCTCGTCTAACGTCGTTACCTGCACTGCTTCCCGTGTGAATTTTTCAATGTACTTTTGGAGAGGCTCGTTGGGGGCTTGGATTATCGCGCCGAGGGCGGCTTCTCTCTTCGGGTGGCGTCGGGACGCTTTAAAGTGTTTTGAAAACAGGTCCTTCAGGACCCTCCACGATGTAATCGATTCAGGCTCCAGAATTTTGTACCATGTCATGGCGCCTTTCCTTAGGGTTGTCGGGAATAGCCTGCACTTGATAGCTCCTCGGACGTTTCGGTAATCAAGCATGGCCTCAATGTCTTCCAGGTGATCCTCCGGGTCGGAGGTACCGTCGTACGTCGAGAGCGTCAGGGGCTTCTCTATCCCGTGAGGAATGGGGGCGGCCATGATTTCCCGGGACAAAGGGGTCCTGTAGTAGTCTTCGTTGCTGAAAACGAGCGATCGAGGGGGAGATGGGCCATTTGGTATAGGTACCTGGTTTCGGGTCCTCGGCCTTCTGACCAGGGGCTCGACGCGCGGAGGCCTGGTCGGGATTGCTACCCCATTCTGCCGCCTCCCGCGAACTTGTCTCGTCGGGGATCTTGTCCGCTCCCGCACTACTTCCTTTTGGGGCCTCTCCAGCCGAGGTCGTCGATTTCTGGGTTGAGGCGAGGGACTCCTCGAGTCCCCATTCTGGTCTTCCCGCGGAGGGGACCTTGGGGGGGCCTCCCGCTCTAGCGCTCTAATTCGTGCGTTCTGCTGAAACAATAGTTGATTCGTCTGGTTGATGGCCGCAAAGAGGGCGGCCACTGTTGGGTCCGCTCCTGCCGGGACGGGAATGAGTTGGAAAGCCGCTGGGCTCTGGGACCGGTGGCCAGCCTGGTGTGTCGGTTCTGCGGACGACGGAGATGCAGTCTGGCCGTCTCTCTTGTCGGTCTCCGCTGGGCGTGACGTCTCCGTTTGCTTGCCGCCGTTTGCGGCAGCGTTAAGCATGAAGTCGTGCACAGTATCGTCGTGGTGTGGGCTAGCCATGATCGTGGAGTGTCGGTGAAACTTTTGGTTTTTTGCTCGGAGTAACGGGGAAGTTTTTGTTCCCACAGACGGCGCCACTGATCTGACCTGATCAGAAGGGGATCACGGGCTGGCCACGCTGTGTTGGACTGCTACCTGTTCACCGGTGATGAGGAGGAGAAGGGGGTGTACCTGCAAGACACTCCGATGCCAAAGTAAGGAATTGGGCAGAGTGAGAGCAAAGTACAGAAATGGGGTAAGAAGTGAATTACTTGACCCTCTTGAGGAAGAGGGTATTTATAGAGAGACCCCAGTGCTGGGCCAACGATCACTTGTGTTGGGCTGGATGGCCAGGCCCAATCCAGGTGACTGCTAGGGCTTACGTGGCGTAGTGAAGACCAGGACGTGGTCTTCGCCCTAGTCCAACTGTCCCGTGGTCTCCGGAAAGTGGGTTTGACCTGCTCTTTCGGAGGTTGGCAGTTGGGGGATGACGTGTCCCCGCGGAGGGAGCACGTGGAGAACGTGCGCATGGCGCGTTGTTCTCCCCGCGGAGGGGAGCTCGCGGGATTCCCCGGAGGTGTGTCGTTCTGCTCGTGGCATGGGAATTCTGCCCGCGGGGGGTTGTTTTACCCGACGAGGAGAGAGTGTCGAGGGTGCCTCGAGGCACGCTGTCTTGCTCGGCGGGGGCGTATCCTGCCCGTCGAGGGGATCGGGTGCCCGACCAGCCTAATTAGTCATACTGGACCTCGGCTGCGCATCATTGGGCTGGGTCGCGAGACGAGGCCGGGCCCAAGCTGGAAGACATACATAGTAATGTTTAATTATAGTTCATTTGATTTACAAGAATCGTCAAATCTTTGTTAACCAACCACCGATAAGATTCAAAAGTAGTTAGTTAGATTTACAACAAAGGTCAAATTATATTATCAAGAATTTGAAATGTTTTATTTGTTCTATTTTCATATGTAAAAACTTCTATGATTTTTTATTTTTTTTAGAAGGGGTGCTCTTCCCACATTATGACTCCCTCTCACAATAATCCTCTAACTTCTTTCCCAATTTCAATACACATTCTTTCCCGATTTTTATGGGTGAGAGTGATTAAAATCAAAATCAAATGTAAAATAAATATTTCATACTACATACTAATTTAGCATAAAATCAAAAATTAAAAAAAAAATGGCATCTTAAAACTTCTGACCTGCACACTAAAAAAACACAAACAAGAGATTTCATTAAAAACCAAAACTTAATAGAAAATATTCATTTATATATTATCGCATGTGCGTTTTAAAAAAACAGTCAAACCGGCACGAAGCTAATTTAATATAAAACAAATTTATTCTAATTATTTGAACCCATAAATGTTGTTTCATTTTTTACGGTATACTTTAGTATTAATATGACATAAAAGGATAGAAAATTATTTTAAAAATCCTATAAAAGATGGTTTTTGATGAATAAGTTTAATGTAGAAAAATATGCTGAGTATAATTGTTATGATATAATATGTAAAAATATTTTTTTAGACTATGTTTGAATAATTTAAAAATAACGGAGCGAAGCGAAAGAGAATAGAATAGGATGAAGTGGAATGAAACGGAACGGAATATAAATTTCATTTTACTGTTTGAATATTTTACAACGGAGCAGAACTAATATCTCATTCCACTATTTAAAAATTGGACGGAGCGAAAAACATTATAATTTTTTTATTCTATTTTTACCCTTTGCTACAATATTGATAGATCCAACATTCTCACACTAAAATAATATATAAGTAATCATAGAAAAATATCAACTTAACACTTGAAAGAAATTAAAATATTCATAAATGAAACATGGTTATTATAACTTAAAATTGCAAAGATTAAGTGCACAAGTTTTGATCAACACCATACTGGGTATTCATAGTAATTCATAAACAAAGTCAAGTTTTGCTAAAATTAAATGATAAATATATGTCTATAGTAGATAATGATATCAAGTCTTGCTAATAAAAAAGACAAATATTGATCCATAATAGATAACGACTCTCTTCTTTAAGCATTTCACAAAACCTGCAAAAATAAAATAAAATAAATTACGCAAATATTTCATTTGTTAAAGATAAAAAAAAAATAGACTTTTACAAGCAAGAAGAAGGCATGTGAAGAAGAAAAGCTGCAGTAAATGAATAGAAAAATATCACGTTGATTAAAATAAGGAATAAAAACGGTTAATAATAAAAGTGAAAATTTGGAGATAAAATTGTAATTGTTTTATTAATTGATTTCATTCCATTGGATGAAATGTGTTTCATCATACTCCATTTCGTTCCATTCAATTTTTATAAATTCAAACAATGGAACATAAGTCCACTCCACTCCATTCCATTTCATCATTTTCTATCAATCCAAGATCTTTAGAGACAATTCTTATTCCTGCCCGGTCCACCATAGAAAAAGTAAGTCCCCCAGCTACTGTCAACTCCTCCTTTTACATTATAACAATTTGGGCTATCAACATAATTCTGGGGATTTCTTGGCTTAACCCAGATTCTCTTTGAATCTAAAACATTAATTTGGTTAAAATATGAAGCTTTTTTATAACCCTCTTCAGGAAAGTGTCCACTGCCCATTTGGGTGGAAGAAGCTTGTTGATATTGTTCATTAAATATTTCTCCACCCCAATGAACCATAGACGCAGCATTCTTCAGGTTTGTAAATAAGGAAGATGGCCAATATCCAAGGGTCTTATCTCCATAACGAAGCCACCAATTTCCTGTCTTTACATCCTACACAAACAAAATGGAACAACATTCAAATTCTTAAATACATATGATAAACCAGTCAATAATCAAAGAAATTATTTTAAAAGAGAAAATGCATAACGAAATTACAAAGCATTATTCGAACCGAAACAAAGTAGAAATTACCTTCCATACAGATAAGGAAATTTCAAATTGATTTCCATTATAGGTAGAAATAGGAGAAATTGCAGCTCCAAATGCAATATCTTTGTTGGTTTGAACAAAGCCTGGGCACTTTAAGTTGTAGCAACCAGTATGTTGATATGCATCAGCCTGCACTTTTAAGGACCATTATGTTTTTCTATTGCATAATAGTAAATACTTTTCCCATTCTTTACTTCAATAAAATTACTTACAGTCCAAAAAATGAAAAATCTAGTGCGGCGGTCTCCATACAGATTCGGATGTACCTAGAAAAAATCACTTGAACTTAGTTTGATTGACCAGAATAATTTTTGTTTAAATAAAAACGGAAAATCATTAAAAAGTTTGAAATAAACAGACCCTATTTAATTTAAATTGATTAAGACGAAGTATCTGAATAATTAAGCATATGAGAATAATTAACATGCCTGCCAACCAGTTTCAATGGTGTTGAGGTCTTTTCCATATGTACCCGAAATTATCCACATTTGAGCTAAGCTGAATAAACTTCGACTTTCTCCGGTTGGATTCCACACATTCATAGTAGCCTTTGCTCCATAGAACTCTCCATTCTGCACATACTGAATTGCATACTGCAGAAATAACAATAACAAATTTTTTACTTCATTTTCAAAAACAATTAGAGAAGATATAAAAATAATTAAATAAAAATATGGAATTGCATACTCGGTGATCATTGCTGCTGATGGGAAATTTTCTTCCAAATCTAGTATCAGACCTAGCTCTTAGCAAATCATGTTCTGTTATTCTTCTTATTGGAATTGTTCCATCTGGACAAGATTCACCTGATAAACTCCATACTTGAATACTTTCACTGAAATTATTAATCTGATTATTCGCCTTTGGCATTTCTGGTGGATCCTAAATATAAATATTTGCACACGAAATTTCCAATTATTTAGCTTTGAGAGTTAGGTCTATGTTGTCCATAAAATATTTAACTCAAAAGAAGAAAAAAAAAATACCATTGGTTTTTGTCCTTTTAATAAAGGATGATCAAAAGCTGGTTGTTGATGTGTCAAAACACAATCTATGATATCACCATCAGGACTCTGCCAGTGTACAAAATTAAATAATCTTATGAACAAGCATATAAGTTAACATTCAAATATATAAGCTAATTTTAAATATAAAGTTTGGTAATATTGCAAGTTTATAATTTTTTTGGGATAAAAAGAAATTGGTTTAATTTTTAATGAAAAATGTCATAATTTCAATTTTGACAAAGTTTAAGGAATATTTGAAAATTATAATAAATATGGAGAAAAAATTTCAATTTATTCAAAATTAAAGTGAACAAATTGCAAATTTATGATAAATATAGTGACTACTTTGAATTATATAATAACTTGCTTGTACATTTTAAAAATTATAACAAATGGTATTTGTAAATTTTGAATTAATAAGATTAATGTCTCCTGAAATTCTTTCAATTTGACAAATCTTAAAATTTCAATATCCAAATAACAAGACAATTTATAATAAGGAATTTGATATTATTTTAAATATATATATATATATATTTTGTCATACCTGAATTGTCTTAACTGCGGGTTTGTTGAGTTGCTTAAAAAGTTCATCCTCTGATTGAAAAGTTTGATTCACTAATGAATTTCTTGTTTCTAGAGAATTATTTGAATAAAACAAAGAAACAAAAACAAGTGAATGTAGAAGGAGGCAGATGATTGGAGAGCTAAGATCCATGTTGTTTTTGTGTTTGTTTGCCTACAAACTGTATTGTCTTCTTATATTAACCATATATATTTGAAAAAAAAAATGTTTTTAGAAAAATAAAATATATTGGATTGGATTTTATTTTCTTAAAATATGTACTTCGGTAAAAATAAACCAATTCAAATGCAATCAAGAAAATAAAAAATATTTTTTTATTTAAATATAATACAAATATAGAATGTTAAATATTTTTTTAATTTATTAAAAAAAGTGAAAAATACAAAATACAAAAAAAGAAATAAGTCATGAGTATCAAGATAAAATAATAAACTATCAAGATGCCTTCTAGAGAAATTTAAATTTGCAGACTTAGAATATATTTGATTTGGTTTTGTAAAATTGTTTTTAAGTTTATAAAATTTAAAATTTATAAAATTTGTTTGGTAGTTTAATTTTACAAAATTATTTTTGAAAACTATTATCTATTTAAGAGTTTTAAAAACTAAAAAACCAAAATAGGTTTTACTGGTTTTTGGTTTTATTTTTTAGTTTTGAAAATTATAAAGAGTAAAAAAATAAGGAAAAATGGTACATTTTTCATTAATGAAAAATTTGTAATATTGTTCATCTTTAAAACAATTTTCAAAAATTAAATTACCAAATATGTTTTCTATTTTTTTTTCTTCAAAACTCTTTTTCAAAATTGATTTATAAAATAGAGTTTTAAAAACTAAAAATTAAAACTCATTCAAAAAAGCCCTTAGTTTTATAATACCACTGTCAAATAAAACTTGTCTTATATGTCTCAAATGTAAATCACAATAAACTATTATAATTTATGGACCATATTTATCAAAATGAATTCTTAACATAATTAAATTTCAAAACGGAATAAGAAAACACTAAGATGCAATGGTATAAATCTTATTATAATAAAATTTTGTTAACTAGGATTTAGTCGGTTAATTTTACAAAAATAAATTGTAATATAGATGATTTTTATTGAAGAAAACTTGACTTTTTTTCTAATTCTTTAGTCGCAAACTATAGTGTCGAGCATTTTTTTCATTCATTTAAATAATTTAACTTTGGCTTGTGAAAGTCTAATTTATTTTTTGTATTCTAAAAAGTTTTTTTTTAATTCTCTCAATTTCAAAATTATGTCCCCTTAATTAACAAAAATATAATATATTCTATAATATATTTATTTTATCTCTTATTCTTTTTGTCATTATTTCTAAATTTTAAAATTTTCTTATTACTATTTATTATTTTCTAATTCATATTTTTTCACATTGTATTTTAGTTTTAAAAAATTTTAATTTTAATTTTGTTAACATTTTATTTATTTTTAATTTTTTATACCAAATGTTGATTTTTTTTCTTATTGAAATATGTTTCAATATTTTTATTAAAATAGTTTTCATCTAAATAGTCACAAAGTTCATTATCTTTTATTAAATCTAAATATATTATAAACCATAAATCATATTTTAACTAATAAAATATTACTCATAGTATGTTCTATTGCATAATCTATTTTGCTTTAAATAATATAACTTGTTAACATAACTTTACATATTCTTAAAGTATATTTATTTTTTTTATCATTCGGTAAGTTCAGTTTTCATATGCATCATTTTAATAAAAATCTCATTTTTTTAATTTTCAATATTATCAATATAGAATACAATAAAAACTTTTATTTTCCTTTATCACTTTTTCTTTCTCTTTTTTGATAAATTCAACAATATGTTCATTTTGTTGTCTCTTTAAATTGTATAAGTAGTCTAATTTTTTAGTTTTATAAATATTTTATTTTGAAATTTTTTTTTGTTAATGTTATACATTAAATTCTAAAATAATATTTACGATATTTATACATATTTAAAATATTTAAAATAAAATAAAAAAAAAACTTACATTTTGATAAGAAAGGCATCATAACATCAATTGACGCATTACAAATGATTCTTAATAATTAAAATGACTCTACATTAATATACAAAGTACTCAAAATCTTTTAAAGTTGAAGAAGAAAATAGTTTCAAAAATAAAAATAAATATGTAAATCCAATGTCACATATCAAAGCGGTGTTTTTCCCAAAATTTAATTTCAAAACTCATCAACTTATATTTATTGCGATTTTGCAAATAAATAATCAATCAAGACAAACACAAACTCAGGAGGGTGGACTTCAAAACCAAATAATAATATAAAATAATGAGAAAAATACACAAATTATCAAGTAAACACTAAAATATATCAAATTACATTTAACATAAACCATCAACATCAAACATATACATAATTTATAATTTCGAAATATAAACATCTCAAACAAACCTTATTATAAAGTAATCAATATAGAATATCAATATAAATCACGATAATCATCCACTTTAGTCAAAATTTAAACTATAATTTGCATATTCTATCATTCTGATTTGCACATGTGTAATACTTCTCACAAACGATATTGTGTTAAAACTCATGATTCAATATTGTGTGTGATTATCTGAATTGATATTGCACTTGTGTAATACTTCTCTCAAACAACATTGTATCACATACCATTATTCAGTTATAGGTGTATTTTGCTCAAGCCATACTGCATCATGTGACCACTTCTCTCTACTGACAGTGCACAATATCCAACATGATACTTCTCGCTATTTTATATTGCATCATACCAACCTGTTGTTTTCGGATTTGAAATATTGGCACAAGGAAATTATCGGGACGAGTCGCGTACTAGGTCGCTTTCTTTAAAGACGTTTCACCGTACTGCCAAAATATGCAAAGCAGTCAATTTACGACGACGCCTCCAGGATAAAACAGCCCGTTCAAAATTACGATTATCAGTTGCACACTGATAAATCGTTCTAGAAATACACCTTTCTAAATTATCTGGCGAAAATAGTCAGTCCAGTATCTGGCTGAAATAGCCAGTCGAAAAAACCAAGAAAAGAAAATTGTTTAGATGAAGAGAATTAAGGGAGAGAGAGGGAAGTCAAAATTCGTGTGAATTTGTGAAATCCGGAGTGCTCACTACTGAATTTTTACCCTTTATTTATAGGTAGCTAGTGAGGCTGATATTTCCATTCCTCCAATGTGGGACTAAAATGAATCTTGTCAAATTCACTTTCCAATTCCCATTAATATAATTCCAACATCCAATGTGGGACTAAAATGAATCTTTTCAAATTCACTTTTCAATTTCTATTACTATAATTATTATAGTTCCAACAATCCCCCACTTGAATTTAAAGGAAATTTTAGAAGTCCGTCAAACGTTTCTAAGATTGTGCATAAGCAAAGGTGTCTACAACTTGAACCTTAGCGTAGCGAGTAGGATTCTGATTCAACAAGAGTGACACTATTGTCTTGAACTCTATCTCGGACATCAGACCCGCACACAACCTTTTCGTAAGGTGTATTCTTATAGCCCGTGCTTTAGTGGCCTTGCACGTGTATCCCGGTTTAGTGAATGCTCTAGGAATTCTGCCTCGAAATTCCATAGGAACCGGCCTCAGTTCCACAGTCACATAGGTGAATCTATCAAGAGTACTCTTGTAACCTAGGTACTCCCTCATACAGAGAATAGATATCATTAAGAGTTTCTATTATCTCATCCTGTCATTACTTCAGGATTCAAGCTTTACTTGCATGATCATTTTCATATTACTCACAACTTGTTATTACCCATTGAACCTAAGTCTTGGGATCTCCAGTCATTTAGGTCGGGTTACCATCATGAGTAACTAATTGCTTCATAGGCATTAGTCCCATCTTTTTGGATGTATTATGGACTTTCTCTCTAGCTAATCCTTTCGTCAAAGGATCTGCTAAGTTCTCATCAGTGCGTACATGATCCACTCTCACAGCTCCTTTAGATATACAATCTCTAACAGTGCTATGTTTTCTTCTAATTTGACGTCTTTTACCATTATAGTAACGGTTCTCAACTTTTGCAATAGCCGCGGTACTATCGCAGTGGATCAACACAGCTGGTATAGGTTTTTCCCATAAAGGGATCTCAGCTAGCAAGCATCTTAACCAACTTGCCTCTTCACTAGCTGTAGCTAATGCTATCATCTCAGACTCCATTGTGGATTGTGCCAGAATGGTCTGTTTCTTTGATTTCCAAGATACAGCTCCTCCGGCTATACTAAATATATAACCACTAGTAGCTTTGGAATCATCCGATAAGGTGTTCCAATCTGCATCACTATACCCTTCTAGTACATCAGGAAATTTCTGATAGTGTAGGCTGAGGTCCATAGTCCTTTTAAGGTACCTCATTACTCGCTCAATAGCTTGCCAATGTTCGTTACTCGGCCTACTTGTAAATCTGCACAACAATCCTACGACATATGCAATGTCGGGTCTAGTACAATTAGTGGCATACCTAAGACTGCCAATGATGCTCGCATATTCTGCTTGTTTGACACTTTCTCCAGTGTTTTTAAACAGTTTCACACTTGGATCATACGGAGTGCATGCAGGTTTACAATCAAAGTATTTATATTTCTTTAAGATCTTCTCCACATAGTGAGATTGATCCAAAGAAATTCCTTGGTCGGATCTCGTGATCTTGATACCCAAGATCACGCTTGCTTCTCCGAGGTCTTTCATATCAAAGTTATTGCATAACAATGATTTCATATCATTAATGGCCTGAATGTTTGATCCAAATATAAGTAGATCGTCTACATATAGACATATGATAGTACAAATGCAATTCTCAGATTTGTAATAGACGCACTTGTCACTTTCATTCACTTTGTACCCATTAATTATCATTAAGTTATCAAACTTTTCATGCCATTGTTTAGGGGCTTGTTTTAGTCCATACAGAGACTTATCTAACTTACAGACCTTGCTTTCTTGTCCTTGGATTACAAATCCTTTTTGTTGTTCCATATAGATTTCTTCTTCTAAGTCACCGTTTAAAAAAGTTGTTTTAACATCCATTTGGTGTACTATTAAGTTATAAATGGCTGCTATTGAAATGAGTACCCTAATG